GCATCTCACCTCTGTGGTTTGGATGTTGATTTACAGAATTTGTTTTAGAGAGATTAGGATTTTAAAGGGGTGTAGCTTAAGTCATACAGTAGTAGATTAGTAATCAATTCTTTTGCCACTTGTAAAAGGATAAATTTGCTTACATATATAGTTATTTTCCTGTTAATGACAAAACTTCGTGTGTATTTTGTTTAGCCTGAAAAAGAGCCAATTAGGCAAATTGATCATCTTGTGGTTTAATTTGGTATTTATACACTTGTGACAATTTGTGAAATAGTGGGGTCTAATTATTGGTGCACTCTTCCCAAATAAGTTGTGACAGTTGCTGTCCTGACTTGTTCCCATTTAAATTACCAAATAAGCTCCTATTTGCCTACTTTCCCTCACTGCACTGTCACTTAGATTTTCCTCAGCCTTCAATCTACTTCCCCTCATTATTTTCTAATGAATAAGAGACTGCTTTGTCATAGCTATCAGTGATTATTTTCTGTCAACAAATATAACCAACACAGACTCTTTCTGTTTGCTTCAAAATTCACACCTTTTTTTTGGAAAATGCATTTCAATTTAAATGAATTGATGATGGCAAAGCTCTTTATTGTCTTCAGGACTTACCAGTGTTGTGATGGTTATTGCACCATCACATTTGAGGAAATAAGTGCTTTAGCACATTATTGCCACTAATGCAGCATTATTGTACTAAATGAAAATGTTGCCAACTCTCTTTAACGATAAAACTTCTATGCCCATCAAAGTCACTTAACACTCATTTGCTTAGTTGCACTATTTAAATGCAGAAGTCTTCTGAAAAATTTACGTAACTCTTAAAAGCAAAAGATGTGTATGCCGCCCCACAAAATAAAACACAGAAGAGACACTAGCTTCACAGACTGATTACAGGTACTTTTCCAATCACTTTATTTTGCTGTTTTTTGTACTTGAAATGTAACTGTCATGTGCAAGGCCATTATTGACCATGCATCCCTCGTAGTCCTAGAACAAAGAACAAAGAAAATTACAGCACAGGAACAGGCCCTTCGGCCCTCCAAACCTGCACCGATCCAGATCCTCTATCTAAACCTGTCGCCTATTTTCCAAGGATCTATATCCCTCTGCTCCCTGCCCATTCATGTATCTGTCTAGATACATCTTAAATGATGCTATCGTGCCTGCCTCTACCACCTCTGCTGGCAACGCCTTCCAGGCACCCACCACCCTCTGCGTAAAGAACTTTCCACGCTTATCTCCCTTAAGCTTTTCCCCTCTCACCTTGAAATCGTGACCCCTAGTAATTGAGTCCCCCACTCTGGGGAAAAAGCTTCTTGCTATCCACCCTGTCTATACCTCTCATGATTTTGTAGACTTCAATCAGGTGCCCCCCTCAACCTCCGTCTTTCTAATGTAAATAATCCTAATCTACTCAACCTCTCTTCATAGCTAGCACCCTCCATACCAGGCAACATCCTGGTGAACCTCCGCTGCACCCTCTCCAAAGCATCCACATCCTTTTGGTAATGTGGCGACCAGAACTGTACGCAGTATTCCAAATGTGGTCAAACCAAAGTCCTATACAACTGTAACATGAAAAAAATTACCTTACCTCAGTAAGGTAATTATGTCATTTTCTTAACTGCTGCAGTCCATCTGGTACAGATATACTCACAGTATCGTTAAAATGGGGAGTTCCTAGATTTTGACTCAGTAACATTGAAGGGACAGTGGTATTGTAATTGCAGTGGCATCACTTCACCCGTTGCACTACACCACATCTCCCTGGTCCTACGCTCATCCCTGGAACATCTGGATAATAAGGATACCTATATTCGTCTCCTATTTATTAACTTTAGCTCTGCCTTCAGCTCCATAATTCCAACTAGACTTGTCTCCAACTTCAGGGATCTAGGAATCTGCTTCCCCCTCTGCAACTGGATCCTTGACTTCCTGACCCACAGACTGCAATCAGTAAGGATAGGCGACAACACCTCCTCCACAATAGTCCTCAAGACCAGTGCTCCTCAAACAGTGCATTCTCAGCCTCTTACTATAATTCTTATACACTCATAACTATGTGGCCAAATTCAGCTCTAACTCCATTTGCAAATTTGCTGATGACATCACCATAGTGGGTTAGACCTCAAACAATGACAGAGTACAGGAAAGAGATAGACAGCTTAGTGGCATGGTGTAAAGACGACAATTTCTCCCTCAATGTTAGCAAAATAAAGAGGCTAGTCATTGACTTCAGAAACTGAGTTGAGGACATGTCCATATCTGTATCAATAGTGCTGAGGTGGAGGTGGTCGAGAGCTTCAATGTCCAAGAAGTAAATATCACCAATGATCTATTCTGGCCCATCCACATCAACTTACAGTCAAGAAAGCACACTATTGTCTCTACTTCCTCAGAATGCTAAGGAAATCTGGCATGTCCACAATGATCTACCAATTTTTAAAGATTCACCATTGGAAGCATCCTATCTGGACGCATCACAGCTTGGTATGTCAACTGCTCTGCTAAGACCATAAGCAATTAGAGAATTGTGAACACAGCCCAGCCCATCACAAAACCCAACCTTCCTTCTACTGACTCCATCTACACTTCCCGCTGCCTCAAGAAAGCAATGAACATAATCAAAGACCCCTTCCACCCTGATTTACCACTGCTGATTGCATGCCTGGCGCTGTTCTTGAACTGCCTGGTCTCACCCGCTGCCAAACACAGATGTTGTACTTCAGTGGATCAGTTATGGTTCTGATATATTGTATGTCCTGAGAGATGATTAAATCAGATCTCGGAGCTCAAGACGTTAACCTTCACAGAGTCAAAGAGTGATAGAGTCATAGAGATGTACAGCATGGAAACAGACCCTTCGTTCCAGCTTGTCCATGCTGACCAGTTACCCTAAATAAATCTAGTCCCATTTGCCAGCATTTGGCCCATATTCTTCTAAACACTTCCTATTCATATACCCATCCAGATACCTTTTTAAATGTAATTGTACCAGCCTCCACGACTTCCTCTGGCAGCTCATTTCCATACAGGCGCCACCCTCTGCATGAAAAAGTTGACCTTTAGGTCCCTTTTAAGTCTTTCCCCTCCCACCTTAAACCTGTGCCCTCTAGCTTTGGACTCCCCACCCCAGAAGAAAGACCTTAGCTATTTACCCTATCCATGCCCCTCATGATTTTATAAAATTCTGCAGTTGTTAACTTGCTGGTTGAGCTGGTAAATTTGTTCGTAAACATTTCATCAACATGCTAGGTAACATAATCAGTGTGACTCTGGTGAAGCATCGGTGTTCTGTCCTGTTTGCTATTTCTATGGCTTAGTTTGTTGGGGTGGGTGGCATCACTTCCAGATTTGTTTCTTAGTGGTTGGTATATGGGGTCCAGTTCTACATGTTTGTTCATGGAGTTCTGGTTTGAGTGCCAGGCTTCAAGGAATTCTCATGCATGTCTTTGCTTGGCTTGTTCTAGGATGGCTACGTTGTCCCAGTCAAATTGGTGTCCATCTTTGTCCATGTGTATTGAATTGAATGATATATTTGGTCATGTCTTTTGGTAGCTAGTTGGTGTTCATGAATCCTGATGGCTAGTTTCCTTCTGGTCTGCCCTCTGTAATGTTTTGGCAGTCTTTGCATGGTATCTTGTCAACAACGTTGATTCTGTTAGTTGTGGTATTCAGATCCTTTATTCTCGTCAGTAGCTGTCATAGTGTAGCTGTTGGTTTGCGGTCTACCATGATTCCTAGGGGGCAGAGTAATCTGGTGGTGATTTCAGAACTATCCAGTGTACACAGGAAGGCCACCTATATGGATCAGGTATTCAACTACAATAGCAATCATCCCAATGCCCACAAATGGAGCTGCGTCAAAACACTGTTCAAGCATGCCGCAACACACTGCAGCACCCTGGAGCTATGCAAAGCCAAGAAAGAATACCTATACAGTGTCTTTAGAAACAACAGTTACCCAAAAAGCATAGTCCATCAATATCTACACAACAGACCACAATAGGAAGGCATAACACATCCAAAGACATTAGTCACCCTTCCATACATTAAGAACATATCTGAAGTGACCTCTATAAGGTTGCCCCTCAGCTTCTGATGCTCCAGGGAAGAAAACTGCTATTCAGCCTCTCCTTATAGCTTAAACCCTCCAACCCTGGCAACATCCTTGCAAATCTTTTCTGAACCCTTTCAAATTTTACAACATCCTTCGTATTAGCAGGGAGACCAGAATTGCATGCAGTATTCCAACAGTGGCCTAACCAATGTCCTGTACAGCTGCAACATGACCTCCCAACTCCTATACTCAATGCACTAACCAATAAAGGCAAGCATACCAAACACCACCTTCACTATCCCGTCTATCTGTGAGTCCAATTTCAAGGAACTATGAACCTGCACTCCAAGTTCTTTGTTCAGCAACACTTCCCAGGACCTTACCATTA